CCCAATAAAGCGGAATCGACTGTATAATAAAAAAAATAACGTGATATTTAAAAAAAGTATTTTTATTTCACAAACTATTTACAATTTCCTTACACCGCCATTAAATGGATTATTAGTTATAATTTGGTAGTGTAAGATACATGATATTTTAAAAAAAAAAAAAAGTATTTTTATTTTACAAGCTATTTACAATTTTCTTACATCACCATTAAATGGATTATAAGTTATAATTTGGTCGTGTAAGATGAGACAATAAGCTGCAGTCTTTTCAGGAATGGCAATATCGGTCTCAAATTCAATACGCAGGTCCACGGTTGACGACTTCACATTGTCGTTTTGATGCGATAGATCGACAACGGCGATGGGTGCATGGTTTTGATAAGTATTTTTTGACAGTAACGGCTCGCAATAGTCTCTTTCGTAGTAACGATTTTTGAAATCTATGTAAGCTTTATACAGTATCGAAGTTTGTTTGTTTTGGAAGTCTGCTCGGAAATCTTCATACGGATACGCTTCAGAATTTAAGTATACCTTAAGATTTTTCAATCTACAGTGGTCGAATAGGCCTGCATCATGTGTTATAGTATTTTTTCGATCTGTTTGAAATCCAATTAATACAAATCTAGGTTTTTCGAGTAAATTGCTAGACTTTACCGTCCACGAATGTGAAGTATTTTTAGGTAACACTGGGTATTCACATAAATCCCAAGTTCTGAAAGCACACGATAACGTTTTACGAGAATCCAATATTTTTAACAGTCTTAACTTTTCTTTATCACTAACTTTGATAATATGCATCTTCCATAATATTTTAGTCAGTTCGACTGTAATTTTTTTATTTTTCTCGGAGTTATCAGTAACGTGTAATGTGTCAAAATCTGTCGATGAACGATTCAAAATCAATTGTTGATTACAATTAAGTAATATTTTTTTGTAATCTTCAAAAAATCCAAATAGATGTTTCAGTGGAACGCAGCCGGTAAACACATTGTTGGTCATGAAATTTTTATTATTATCGTTACTACCCAACGACGACCCCCAAGCTGCATTATCCAGTGTGTTCAAGTCGTTTGGAGTATATGAACAGTAACCTTTCAAACAAGACGAAATTCCTGGTGATTTAATTTTCTGAACTTCTACGCCGTTTATCTCGTATCGCATTTCGGAGAATAAAAACGCCAATCCATTATTCGAAAAACTAACGTCTCCAACAGCATCTGTAGGTTTATTTACTTTTCCCTCTATGTACAGATAACTCTCACACGGAAAAGTGTAAGAATCCATATTTAAAACACTTATCCTAATTTCATCGTTATTAGAAAAAGACATGTTTGAATATGGAGTGAACGAATGATAATTCTTTTGAGTTATTTTACACTCGTCGACATAGCCGGCTGCTACGTCTAAATAATATGAGTCGTCCATAATTAAATTTTCAAGGAACGAAGAAAATTTAAATTATTTTTCGTGAGTTTAGTTTCGGTTTTTTTCGGTTTGGATGTTGACTTCTTGACGGCTGGTACAATACTGATAGGTTTTTTGATTGTTGCTCTTTTTATATTGATGTTAAATTTGAGCGCCATACCCCCGCGTTATTTGCAAGCGAATCGTAATTGGTTCGCCGCGTAGATTTATTGGACAATCGTTCTGATCTTTTAATACGATATTTACTCTAGATATTGAAGTCGTGTTGAGACCATAATAAACTGGATGTCTAGGTACCTCGACGATTTTATAGCCTGCTGGAACAGTTGGATAGAGTTCGTGTATGATCTGGCTCGGTGCTCCGTCACAAAATGAGCCAGTAATCAAGTTGCACTCGACTTTTATACTATTTATTTTAATTATCTTGACTGTACCTTCAGATTCGTGATTGATACCAGCAGTGTATAAAACATTTCTTAAACCCAACAATTTCGCTATGCTATTCTTGACGCCCAAGTTCACATCGTGACTACACGAGAGCGCGCACTTTAATGTGCTATTGTTTGCTTTTAATTCAAACCAATCGACATATTCCGGCATATTTTTTTGTATAACAGACTCTAAATTATCAAACTCATACGAGCCTGTAGGTATAATAACGTCCTCATTTTGACCGAACATATTTTGGAAACCAATAGTATTGCAACCGGGTTCGATGTTTGGTATAGAATTATTTGTCTGTAAGCTCAAAAGACATATTTGGGCTGTGTTTTCCACTTCTATCAGCGGAAAAATATCGCATGACAATTCACTCGAGTTCCCGTTTAACGTCAACGTGTACATGATAAAAATTTTAAACACAAGTGCCCGCAGTTTGTAGTATTATAATTCTGATCTCTGTTGTAATTGAAGTTAATGTCACAACCGCTAAAATATTTTTGTACTTCCAATGGAGGTTGTAAATTTCCAAAACTGTCGTAATAATCGACTTGTTTTCCGATTTTTTTATACGCTACCCAGTGAGTGCCTGTACCGCTTTCCGAGTCCAAGTTAACAATCGCTGATTCTATTAGTTTGGGGCGTGCAGATAACCTGTCTCTAGTAAACACGCCGATGAAATGAGGTTTTTTCATTAAACGTGCTATTTTTATAAGCTCGTAATCGTACAGTGCTCTTCTGGGTAACGTAGATATTAGTTTTTTTTCGCTTTTTTGCCTCCACCTCTTTTATATGTGGCGAGATATAAACCCGAACCGATTTTGTACGAGTTGCCCTTATACGGAGCGAGATATAACCCTCTGCCCAAATGAGATGGTGTGTTTCTTTTAAATTCACTAGCCAACTTAACGACGTTGGCAACACCTCCAGTTAGAGCTCCCAAAGCCGATAAACCAGCGAAAATCGGAATAAGTGGCAACACACCGCCTTTTTTCGGAACTGTTATTATTCTAGGAACTTTTGTCTTTTTATTTTTGAATGTTTTTCGTGCAACGGCTACACATTTTTTACTTAATTTCATCAGATTTTTTTCACCGATATTTTTCTTTATAGCGTTTTTAACTGCTTTGATGGCCGCTTTAAACCCACATCCAGCCCCGATCTTACGTTTTGCTTTCATGGCCGTAGTCACGCCCCAAGCCACTGCTTTTTCTTTTAGACTAGAATCTTTTGCCTTGAACCTATCCCAGGCTCGCTGCTCTAATATATAGTCAGCCTCGTTACGATCTGCGATAGAGTTACTACGATCGTACGCAATATCGTGATCTTTACACGCAGAGTCCAAGGGGTTGATTCCTTTATCTCCGTGAGCCAAACGTTTTTTTCAAATTTGTACCAGGTCCACAATATTGATAACCTACACAGATACATCATGATTTAAATGAATTAAAAATAATCACCAAAACTTACCGGGCACGTGAATCTCGAGTGGTAATTTGTTTATAAGCGTGTTGATAAGACCACCACCCTTATTCTTGTTGTTTCTTCGTACGAGTGACATCGTGTACTGATTACATTCCCCTTGCTACAAAGATATTTATATATAAAAATGAAATTAATTGAACAAAAACTAAAACTTGCAGTTGAAAACGTGGACCCGCCTACATCGATTCAGTACTATAGACATGGAGCGCTTCTTCCCAATACGATACGAGCACTTATTGTCGGACCTTCGGGCTGCGGAAAAACCAATTTAATTTTCGCTTTACTAACCAATGTAAATGGAATAAGATTTCATAACGTTTACATATATTCTAAAACATTGGATCAACCGAAATATAAAATGTTGAGTGATATTTTATCAGACATTGATGGAGTACAATTATTTACGTTCTACGAAAATGAACAAGTTATTGAACCCGAGAAAGCTTTACCAAACTCTGTGTTTATTTTCGACGATATTATTTCAGAAAACCAAAAAATCGCTAGAACTTACTTTTCCAGAGGTCGACATAATTTAGTGGATGTTTGCTACCTGGCTCAAAGCTATTCAAAAGTACCTAAACAACTTTTGCGTGACAACGCTAATTTTATTGTATTATTTAAACAAGATGAAACTAATTTAAAACATGTTTACATGGAGCATTGCTCTGGCGATATGTCATATACTGAGTTTAAAGACTTTTGTACGACATGTTGGCGTAAAGGGAGATTTGAGTTTATCGTAATTAATAAAGACTGCGAACGCAACGACGGTCGATATCGTCACGGATTCGACACGTTTGTCGTTATATAAGTCAGCGTTTTTATAAAACTTCGTCATTTGCAAACATGGCTGCTAATGGTGAAGTACTCGGAGAATTGATTAAAGCCAAAGAAAACATTAAACGCAAGTATACAGCATTAAAACACGGTAAAGCCGATATTCAATCATTGGTATCAAACATTTACCCGATTATCGAACCATTGAAAGAAATTCAATTTCCATCAACATTTCAACCTCAAATAGCAAAACTCGATTCCAAAACTATAGACGATAACACTTTAGATTCCGAAGTTTTATTTGACTTTTTAGATTCTTCCAATAGAGACAAAAAGTATGGACCTAAAACACAATCAAACGGTGCTATACATTTAGGTAAAAAAGAAATTAAACTTAC